CTCATCCGAATTTGTCGGTTGTTGTTTATTTTTTGTGTGTTCTGCTTTTTGTTTGGGCCTTGTCCAATAAACTTGTTTGCCCACAGCCACTTTGGCGACAGAACAATGTTGTAAATTTTTCAACATGCCACCAGGCAGCTAACCACATGCCGCAACCCGCCCCCGCCCCCCGCACCACATGCCCCAACGCAGCCCTGCTCCGAACTGAAATCAAATTAATACAAATTGTTGCTGTAGGTAATTTGAGCTGCCTGCGGGTCACAGACAACACGCTTCAGTGTATATTTTCATTGCCCTTGCAATGGGTATTTAATATTTATCATATAGTGTGGCAGCTCCCAACCAATGAGACATATGTATATGTATATGATCCTACATTAATCGATATACATGCAGATCTGACTGTTTATATATTAACATACTTCTCCCTGTTGAAGTTATCTCAGCTTAAATTTATTATATATTCATTTAACTTCACTCAGCTGCATCGGATCGCTATAACATATAGCTGCAATCGGTCTGAAATTGAATTTTTGTATTTATAACTATTTTCGTTATTCAAGATATGCTCACTAAGCTCATCAACTACAAGCTTCTGCACGCTCCTAACATATGAGAAAAAATGAATCTATATCAAGCTTTTATATTGTATTGGCTCCGTAGATATCATAGGTCTAAAATGGAGCTCCCCATGTTTTATATTCTCAATATAGAGGCAAAACAATTGTCAACATAAACTATATTATATAGTTTCCATATGAACTATCGATCGATTCACAAGTCTTTGTAATACACCTTCCTGTGGCTCACATCTAAAATATATCACACATCCCTTATTTCTGCAAGGGTATTCAATCTTCGTTACGCCCGACTAGACTGTTGCTTCTTGTTATTTATTTTAATCATTTAGTTTATTACCAAACCCCTCGCAATGCCTCTGGCTCACCCTTGCTGACACTTCAGCAGCGCCACATGCGCGCGCCTTTCTATGCGATTCTCAGAATGTTATTCATTTCTCTGCTATTTTTACTCAGCATTCGCTTGATTGAATGTCATTGTTGGCTCGTGTAACGAATATGTCAAATGTCAGATGCAATTTAAATGCAATTAGCTGCGAGTTGTTCGTTGCATCGAAAATGCCTTTTAATTGGCCCAAACACGCGCCTGCAACAGCGACAACAACAACATCTTTGCGGGCTATATCTGCATGTATCTTGTTTTTTTTCGATTTATGGCCATGCGTTTAATTTGCCGTTTGTTATATTTTTCGATCTGTTGTGCCTGCCTCTCTGCATTTTCCCATGAATCATGGCTATTTGTTATTCATGACTTTTTTTTGTCTCTCTCATAAATCTCGCCACCTTCCCCCTCTCGTATCTCCCTCTCATTTGATTTCTCGTTGCTTATCGTCACAATATTTTTGACAATTGCGAGAGTTACGCGTTTGCTTATACACGTAATCGCCGGAATTGTCTATCGTAATTGACTTTGACTTTGACGTACGCGTGCAAACTGTTAAACGACTGAGTGGCGGGGGGAGAGAGGTGGGCAGGGGGCTGATTACGTCTGATGGGTTTGTGCTTGGGAGTTACAAATGCCGAGTGTTGGGAGAAAATTGACTAACCAGGCAATGCGGTACGACGTTATAAATTGGTGCTCAGGGCGAGTCGGTTTTCAAATAAATTATGGCTTGCATAATAACATGTAATAAATAGGTAAAAAAACAAATAAATAAATGTGAGTGGTAGTAGCAATGTGCGGGCATAATGTGTCGTCATATATTTCTATATATATGAATGTATAGGTTGACCGCAATAGAATTTGCGATTTAATTAGCTGCTTATAACTGATAAACAGCTAACAAAGCAGCGCAGCCAGTAAAACGTTTACGAAGCATAGAAAAATAACAAGCTGTAGAACAGTGTAGATTCACTGTGACCATAATATGTTTTGCCTGGCTGTACTATTAACTCTATTAAGCAGCGCAGTCAGTAAAACGGTTACGAAGTATAGAAAAATAAATAAAAATGAGTAAATTAACAAACATGACACCATGTTCATAATATGTCTTACGTAGCTGCAAAATTCTCTAACGGAGCGCAGCCAGTAAAACGTTTACGAAATAAACCAAAAAAAATTCTATGAATGAGAGTTGATTCATAAACACAAGAGTGTGTCCACAATATGCGTTACGTAGCCGGAAAGTTCTAAAGAAAAATTCAAAATTCATTCAGAATTCAAATGCCTTTCTGATCAAAACAGACCAGAGTTAGGCCGCAAACAGGAGTTAAATTGTTTCTATTTTAAATTTGAAAAGTTTCTCAATAGTTAAGTGCACGTTAAAGATAGCAGCGCAATTTTGTTAATTTATAATTATAATTAATTAATTATAAATATTGATTTTGACGAACTTTGCATTTTGAAAAATATTTGATTAGCTGGCCCGCGGTCCGGGGTTCAATTTATTAAAATAAACAAGTCAGAGTGCCGAAGTCGAGAGTGCCCGACCAGGGGATACCCTGAACCTTCTACATTATACCCCTTTTACGAAATTTTCAATAGGTATAAAAATATACAAAATTTGATTTATATATTGTACTCTAATATATATAATATATATGTATGCTTAGTGGATTTAATACACTTTTCAATTTCCTCAATATTATTTTATTTGTTGCATTAAAGTTAAGTGCACTTTAAGCTTTTCTGCTTCGCTTTTTCCGCAAAATTTGTATTTCTTGCTTAAGAGTAATTTGCTAAAGTGCGTCACCTTTTGACACCGATAACTAAAGGATTTGATGCCATTAAAATACTGGAAAATTCTTAGAATTGAATTGCTTTTAAGTAAACTGCACAATTTTCAAGCAAAGCTATTCAATAAAGCTAAAACAATACGAAACCAAATATAATAGACACAACAGAAAAAGTAAATGGGTAACAAATAAGAGAGAATATCTTAAATAAAGCCTAAGCTTAAATAAACTAAATGGTTATTTTATTGAAGTGCACATTTAGAGACAAAGAAGTTGAGGCAGTTAAACCAAAGACAATATGAATAAAATAATAAATAAATAAGACATTAATCAATATATACATCTATATAGGATGCATTAACAATGTCTGCTGACTTTGCTAGCTTTGCTTACTTTTTAACAATCCTTTTGGCAATGCGAAAGCTAGCATAGTTAGCATTAGTTTCGTTTATATTAGACAGTCTGAAGAGATAGTCAATGAATTTGAATGCTGCTGAAAAACTTCTAGAAATCTAGCAATCTAGCAAGTTAATCTAGCAGCCATATTATAATAAGCTAGCTATGTCTTAAATTTAACAAATTCTTCAACTGTCTAGGGTCTCTGAAAGTTCTACTTTCATGCTAGATGCTAAAACAGATTGGTACAAAAAAACAACTAATTTGAATAACTTATTCTGAATGATGCGCTCAGATAAAACTTTGCGTTTTATTTTCGTTTTGAATAGACATTTTTTCACTAGAAAATATTCTTGCCAATATGAAAATCAATAGATTTGATTTAGTTTGCTCTCAAGTCTAACAAGCTGATAATCCAAAGTTTCTGAGCAAGCTTTTTTCTTCTTTTTATTTTGTTTTTTTTTTTTATGATTTCACATCATAAACCCAAAGTCAACAACTATCGATAGTAAAGTTATGAGCAGCTGCAGTTGTTACCCTCTGATCTCATTCCCGCGCTCTCCGCAGTTTGCTGTCACTTTTTTTTTATTTTTGGCATTGGCTGCGCTTCAGTGCCGCAGCTGTCATTCATACACACACACACACACATCACATATGACACACACAGCACACACACGCAGATCTAATGCAGCAACTGTGGGCAACCGTGGTTCCATTGCCAATGTGATACGCTCACGTTTTCTATTGCCTGCGCAACGTTGCGTATACGTAATGTGATTTGAATTTTGTGCATGTGCACTGAACGCTTTGCTGCGCTTTGCCAGAACGGCGACACTGCAAAGCAAGTAAAAGTGTTTGCAGTCGACGGTGATCGACTGGAAGATACCCTCTAAACTAAGCGACGAGCTGACATTACAAACATTTGTGCTTCTATGGAAAATGGTTTCTCTTATTGATCTGGTTGCTAAGAGAGGTTCTCTTGAATATGTGTCTCAAAATTTAAAAATAATTTTCGTAGTTTCCGCTTTGAGAATTATGTCTCCAAATCGATATTTATCGACTTTGAGGTAATAGAGGAGATATCGAATATAAACGGCTAGATTCGTTTTCACGCCCAAATATATGCTTATTTTTTTCAATATGAAAATATATGCTTCAAATTTCAAGCCTTGATTTTTGTAGTTTTTGCCTTAAGGATTTTGTCTCAAAATCGATATTTATCGATATTCTCCATTGGCAGATATCGCATATTAATGTCTAGATTCTTTTATATGGCCAACTTTATATTTTTTCCCATACGAAAACATTTCAGATCTTTTGTTCTTGTAGTTTCCCAAACCTAGATCCACCTAGCTTATCGTCTGGATCAAATATATATATACTTTATGAGATCGAAAATATCAACTGCTGCCTGTTACATCGATTCACGTAAAATCATGATACCCTTGTTTTTCTCTCTTCATTTTTAATGGCTACAGGGTATATAAAACAGGCTCAAGTAGCATCCATTTTCATTTTCCATTGAGCATTTTCCATTTCCGAAACGCCGTTGTCAAAATACGTGCCAGGCCAGGCGTGAATTGGGCTGCCCCCCTCATGACACCCTTCACCCCCCCCCCCCTCCCCCCACCCCCTGCAGCCTGCTCGAAACAACTGCCCCTGCGCCGATTGGGGGCCCACACACGGTTCGCGTTTTTATCTCACTTTTTTTTGTATGTTTTTTTTTGCCAGCGAGTAATTACAATTAATTTCAGGTTTCATATTGCAATCAAAATCGACAGACAGGCGGACGGATGGACAGACGCGGCAAATTAGTTCAGTAATCGCGTTGTTGTTGTGGTAATTCGTGTCGTTGTCGTTGTTGTTACACTTTTAGCTGTATTTTGCTGTTGTTGGGCGTCAATTGGCGTCGCCTGCGACCTTCGAGCCAAATATTTTAGTGTTTGGCTTTTGAAAGCTCTGCAAAAATCTCATAATTTGCGGCAATTTATAGACCACTTTTTTTTTTTTTTTTTTTTAAATTTTACCCATTTTTGTGGGGTTTCTTGCCACTTGCTTTCTTTGGCTGACATTTAAATTTTTGGCTGGGGTTTTTCCTTTGGCCTTAATTAAGTTTTTGCGCTTTTCACTTTTGCTTATTTATTATTATTTAATTTTTGACATTTTTGCTTGACTTCTGACACATTGACTTTTTTCTCGGCCTGAAAAACTGACATTTAGACCAAAAGTGATTTTTTGTTGTTATTATTTGTCGCTGTTTTTTATTTTGTTAAATAATTGCTGTGCTCTGTGTGTCACGTTGGGTAAATATAAATTTGTTGCTGCGATTGTTGCTGTCAATTTGTGGGGCTTAGTTATCAGCTTTGCCTGAGCGTATATCTACATACACACACATATACACACATACACACACACGCATACCTGTGCACCTGACTGAGCTTTAAGTGGAGCACGACAATTGTCAATTTACATAAGCCATATACGATATGTACAATATGTGCGATATGTAGGATATGTATGTGTATAAATAGAATTGCGATATAATTGATTGTAGCTTGGGAAGGGGTAGCTCCGATAAGCCCGTGAGTAACCAAAGCTTCCATAACTTTGTCAAAACTTAAACGATTTTAATAGTTACTGGCCTTTTGATCGTGATATGATTTCTATATTGTTTATGCATTTAAGATCAATGCATATGCAAATCTTATTCTTATACTCTAGTAGAGGGTTTTATAAAATGTGCATGTATATATATATTCTAGATCAGCATCAACATCCGAGTTGATATTGCCATGTCCGTCGAAGTAGTCTCTAAGCTTTGCATAGTTCTCTATATTATATATATTTAGGGCTTTCTTTTCAGCCAAGCCTTATGCCAACGGTGCGTTTAAATGGAGCTAAAAGTTCAGCTTTTTATCTTTTCAAGCTATGTACATATGTGCCATCAATCAGTCAATCAATCAGTTGGGCAACCAAAATATATATAGCTGCTTCCTCGACATTCTACCTTGTACTTCGAACTCGCATAGCCTTGTCAAAGCTGAACCGATTTTTATGCTAAATTACTTTTTGACCCAACCAAATCAAAGCAAAAAATACAACAATTTATTTTTGTGCAAAATTAAGTCTTATGTCTTAACAATTTATCTTAGTCTCAAGTTAAGTTCCTTTGGCTTTTTTTAAACTGAAAATTAATTATTAATAATTAATATAAATTATTAACAAATTAAATGCCGTATGCTGAGTTGTATCATGCGAAAAAGCTCAGCTAAAACTTGAAGCCAAATGCGATGCGATGCCAAAGACGTAGTTTTAGTCGCTTTAAGTCGCAATTCAAGTCTTTTGTCTATTTGTTTAGCTTCTTCTGAACTTAGTTTGGGAATTATATTGTTTTTTTTAATACAACTCTTTTTGGCTAAGCGCCTGCCCATATTTATGTTGTGTGCTTATAAATTATTTGTTGTAGAATTTATTTAAACGAAAATTGTATTTGATGTCAGCTGTATTTGTAATGGGTCTGGGGGTATTCAGGCGAGAATAACAGCACAGTGGAGCCACAACAACAACCACAACAACAACAACAACAACCACAACAACAACAACAACAACAACAACAACAACAAGCGCAAACAATGGAACCCACAACAACTTTCGCGAAAACTCGTTTTCCACGCGTTCGCATAAAATATTAAAAAAAAAATGTTGTTGTTGGTTGCTGTGGTTGTTGTTTTTGTTGTTGTTGCCGCCCTTGTCACTTATTTAGAAGCCAAATCTGTAGCCTGTGTGTGCCACACGGCCAAAAACCCGCTGCTGCATCCATTGAAACGTACAGCAGTTGCCGCTCTCCCTTCTCGCTCTCCCCCCTCGTTCTCCCCCTCGCTCCACCCAGCAGTCGGTATCCAAAACCTGTTTCTTCTTCGCACAGGCCTCAAAATATGTAAAAATATAAATATAAATAAAAAAAAAATGTAAAAAAATCATTTTTTATGTTGTCAGCCGACGTCGACTGCGACGCTGACAGCGCTTGGTAGGCTTTGTTCAGTTTTTTGCGCGTTTTTGTGAAAATTCTCAGCTTGAATTTTCATTTACTTTAAATACGCTCATTTCTCTGGCGCCATTTAAAATGCGGCAACGTTTCCGTTGTGGTTTTTCATCGCCTTCGGGCTGTGCAACATTCAACAGCTACACTTCCAGTGGTCTCTCTCTCTCTCTGCCCAGCTTGACACACATTCTCTACCGCTACCTCCAGCTTGTCTCTGCCCCTCGTTATGCAACTCAAATCAAGCATGAAAAGCTGCTTCAACAATTGACCACAATTGGGACAGCTGACAGAGTGCGGCCTATAACAGCAGCAGCTCACAGCGAACGTGCCCCAGTCCACAAGGGTGCTGGGTGCTGGCATGAAGGAAGCCAAATAGTTCTTAGCCCATTTGCCACATTTTGCGGTATTTATATAAATACACTCTATGTGAGGGCTTCAGAGACTTCGGCTTCAAAGACGGCCAGAGTGCATCTCAAAGTATATGAACTTTGTCTCAAAGGTGTCACAAAAGTTTGTGACCAGAAAACAGCTAAAGTTGAGTGTACTTTCATGATTATTTAAATATTTAATAGCTAAAGTTTCCAAAGCTAAAATAAGTATAAGGGGATTCAAAAAATGTGTGTCCAGAGTTTATAAAGCTACGTGGCTATATAGATTGAAATTTCCTATAAGCATTCCGTTTAGCTAAGATAAGAGTGATGTACAACAATTGTTAGTTGTCGCAACCAATAGTTGATAAGAGAGCAAAATAATTCCCATCGATACTTATTAATTTATGTCTTTTTTCATTTCATAGTTTTACTACTAAATATTTCTTTTGACTTATAATTGCTCAGAGTTTATATAAGAACTTAAGAGCATAAATATATAGGAGCAGGTTCGATAGTAAACAGTGCGATAAAACTATCGAAAGGCTGATCGATATCTGACAATCTCAACTATCGATAGCAGCATAAGAAGTTTTGGAACATGATTAGACTTATTTTTCTAAATGTCAGAGACTCTTGTGTAAAGTTTTATATATAATATATTAAACAATTTAATTGAGATCTTAAGATCTTCAGAGCATAAGTATATTTGAATAGAGACTGGTTCGATAGTAAGCAGTGCGAAAAAACTATCGAAACACGATCGATATCTGAGAACCTCAACTATTGACAGTTTTGGATCCAAGAGACTATAGATGGGAACTCTTGCATAAAGTATCTTATGTACCATATCGTTTCTTATATACTTGAGAGCTCGCCTTTACTGTGTTATATATATTCCACAAAAATATATTAATGAATAAATAAATAAATTTAAAAATAGGGCATAAATATTTGCTATTTGCTTGTTACACAAAAACATATTACTACAGGGTATTCCATAATTTATTTATTCTTGAGAATTTTACTTTCATTATTTCAGTCTTACGATAGGGTTCTTATAGAGCATTTAAGCTTCGTTGATTGAGCCTTTGTTTTTGCTTTTAACTATTTTTTATGTTTTTATGCTCTTCTAAGTTCTTAGTTTTTTTGCTTGTGAATTCTCCTCCAGCTATTTGTAGGTAGCCTAATTTCAACGCTTGAATGCTGTCCATACCAACAGATGAGTGTATGTATGTGTGTTTGTGTGTGTGACAGACAGTGTGGGTGTGTGTCTTAAAGTGTGTGTGTGTGTGTGTGTGCCCAGCTTATCTGAGGCAGCATCAAAGTCAACAACAACAAACAGAAACAGCTGCCGCAACAGCACGACTAGTGGCAAATGTCAGATGGAATTTCGTTTTATTATACCCTGTAAAAAAGCTAGTTTTTTGAGCTTTTTAATATATATGCTCGTTAATTATGCGCGACATGAGCTTGTCTATATTTTTATCAATAACTTTTTCCACACTATCGATAAATATCGATGTTGAGAATTGATTAATTGAGCTCAACTCGAAGATTATAACAGCTAGAGTCTTCATAGTTGGTATGCAGCTTCTTGTAAGGCATATACCTCAAGATACAGGGTATCTTCTAGTTGGTCACTGCCGACTAGAGCACTCTGGCTTGTTTTTTTTATACCTTGTGCTTCTTTCAGCTGTCTTTGAGCGGCCCTCTCTCAAGAGGGGCCTCTTCTGTGTGTGTGTGTGTTTTAGGCAATTGGCAAGTGAGGCACAAATATCAAAGAGTATAAATAGTTTGGGATTCGGGGAATCTTAAAATGGGAGCTCAACTCCCACCGAAACGGACTTGAGCATTGCTGCGCCTTGCCTAGCTTTGGCCTCTTGGCCAATTAGATTTGGCTCAAACTCAACTGGCTATTGGCTATTTTATATGCAGGCCGAGCGATGTCGCTTAATCGCAGACAATTTGCTTAGAATTTGTATGCAGGCTTTCTTCTTCTTCTACTACTGCGTCGTCTTCTTCTTCTTCGTTTGATTGTTGTTGCTGAAGCGAAAACTCGTTGTGAATTTGTAATTGAATTGTCAAATGATGTTGAACATCATCATCCAGTTGCTGATTACATAAAAAATATAATAGAGAGAAGCAGAAATTGTTTTCGCAATTTTCGCTTTCAACCGAGAAGCAGCAACAACTAAATTGATGTTGCAACTGCAACATGCCGCATGCTACACAAAACTATGTAAGGCGGCGGGGCGGGGCGGGGCCATGGCATGCAGCTGAATCCGCCGCCCCATTTTTGGACGGTCGCTTTTCCGCTTCCGCGCGCGGTTTTTTTTTTTCTTTTTCGAATACAATTTCATGACGTTGACACAATTTCGCTAATTATTATCTCACTCTCTTCCTCTCTCGTTGCAGCCAAGAAACAAAATGGCGCCGCCATACGCACAAACAGCCTGGGCTCTGGCACCCGCACCCCGCCCCTGGAGCGCAAAAGCAAACTGAGCGCTTTGGGCAGATTCTTCAAGCCCTGGAAATGGCGCCGAAAAAAGAAGAGCGAAAAATTTGAAGCCGCCTCCAAATGTAAGTTCTTCATTATGATTTGTTATTTGCTCCAATTTCTGTGTGGGTCAGTTATTTAATATTCAACACTTACTTTGCAGCACTGGAGCGCAAGATTTCTGTACGTGCCAATCGCGATGAGTTAGTGCAAAAGGGCATCCTGCTGCCGGAGAGTCCGCTGGGCAATATACCAGAGCCGGGTAAGTGACAGAAAGGGTTGTGGGTAAGGGTGAAGTCAAAAGAGTCTCTCTCTCAGTCTCTCTCTTTCTCTATATCTAATAATCGATTACTCACTGTAACCTTTGTTTTCCCTCTCACCTCCTTTCTCCCGTTCACCTCCTATTCCGCTATCTCACATCCTTTCTTACCTCCGTTTTCTCGCTCTTTATTTTCATCTCCCCCCTCTCTCACTTTCACCTCCTCTGTCTCACTCACCGCGGTTCTTTCTCTCTCTCTTTCTCAACTGTCTCTCTCTCTCTCTCTATCACAATATCTTGCTCAATCTCTCTCTCTCACCTTTTCTTTCTCTCACCTTATCTTTCTCTTACCTTCACTTTCTTCCATTCGAGCTTATCTTTTATCTTCTCACTTAACCTTCCCTCTCTCCTCTTTAACCTCACTTTATCAATCGCCTTTTCCATCTTTTATATGTCACCTTTCTCTGCGATTTTCATGAATTCATGTCATGCTAAAAAATTTGCACATTTTTTATTAAGTGAATGAGTCAACGGTAGAGATAAGGTGACAGACAAAGTGAGCTTTTGTTTAAGATAGCGAAATAAGAAAAAGTGCGATGAAATACGAATTCAGTCAAAGTTACAGGGTGCTCCATCAATACCTGGTTACAGGGTATCTTTTCGTCGAGCACTCTTGATTTTGGCAGTTGTTTTTAGCAGTTTATTAAATGAAATAGATTGCAAATTATAAAAAATCCTTAGCTACATTTGCGGCTTTCATTTTTAAAGGCTTAGCGCCAGCAGAGATACTTTTCATGCTTTAAACTGCGTATATGTGTATTTGTGAGCTATAGGCTAATCATATAGCTCAGATCTAATCCTCCTATTTGGCTTTCTGTTTTTGTGAAGAAGGCACAAAAGTTTTATAAGCCGGCAAACTGTGGCGAACTTTAGCAAACGGACCGCAGGCGCGCACACAAATGTATCTTTCGCTTTCAGTTTTGGCCTTTGTGCGCGTTGCTGACAGAGTCAACAAACGGAAATTGGCCATAATCCACGCACGATTTAGCCAATGATGAGGCACGTTGACTTGGCTCAGTCACGAGCTGCTGACGCCAGGTTTGCTGCCACTTTGCTAAATTGTTTGTATATCAAAGAGGTGTGGCGGGGGAGGGGGGCAGAGTTCGATTCCTTCCACTTCAGCCGTGACGTTTCCGTCCGTCTGGGCTGATGTTCAAAGCGGGCTTCACTCCAATCGCTGTCGCCGGCGACGTCGCGACATTCTCTCGATGGTAATTAATCAACGGCAGCTAATTGTCAATGCGAGACGTCACCGAGTCGCAGCCAAACAACGCCGAACAACGCACGCCACCTGAATGCCAAATCGAAGCGGAGTTTGGGGCAGCGGAAAAAGAAGGAAAAACTCTCATAAATCGAACCTACCTCAAGTTGCGACTGCTTGGCCCAGGGCAAGCTTTGGCCGCCGCTTGCCAACAGATGGCGCTGCTGGTGAAAGTTGCTGGCGCAAGCTTTGGGCGTGCAAGCTGAATGGCCGAGCTTTGCCGCAAAAGCTCGCTGCATTTATGAATGACTGCAAGCTCTCTCTCTTTCTCTCTCTCATATACTCTCTCTCACTTTCTCCCTCTCTCGCTCTCTCTTTGCAGGCGAGGAGTCATACTACAATAGTGGAGCCAGCGCGAATGGCTCTCTACTCTCAGCCGTCCACAATAATTCCATAAATCAAGCTAACAATTCCATTAATGCCACGACCTATGGCAGCGCCGGCAATGCGCTCCTCTCGCAACAAAAACAACAACAGCAGCAGCAGCAACAGCAGTCGGGGGGCGGGGGCGTGCCCAACTCCATATCCGTGCAACAGTTCAATGCAAATTCCATGCTCAATGGCGCCAGCCACAATCAACAGAATTCCATTGCCAATGGCGGCGGCGGCGGGAGCGGCAGCGGCGGCAACGATGGCGCCTCGGACACATCCTCGCTGAGCGGTGGCGTGCCCCATTCACAATCGGCACCACATCAGCTGGGCGTCGGGCAGCAGACGGCGCCACCGCTGACACCTCTGGCCCAGCATCATCAGGCGCTGGCAGCGCAGCTGCAGCAGCGATTCGCCATCAGCAATAATAACGGTGAGTCTCTGGGAATTACTTTTATATATAATACAGGGGTGGAGCGACGGGTAGGAGGGACACTCCGACTTTGTATACTTGATCCTATTGTCGGGAAATGGTTCACTGCAATTGGGAATGGAAAACAATTGTGAGGAAGTTTTTCTATAGAATCGAAGAGCTTTGTTCTTTTGTTAATATTTTATTGTTGCACGTTGAGTGTAATTAATGTGCACAGCATCCATTTAAAGTTTTGCTATTGATTTACTAGATGAATTTATAATAATGGAAACAATTGGAAGATAATTCAGATCTTTGCTCTGATCTATATAAGGGCTGCTGGTATAGCTGTCTTTTTGAGAAATATTTTACAATTATTTTTATTTTAAATACGCGGGTTTTTTTTTTTGGAAACATGGTGTTTTTTTTGGGAACTTTCTATTCCAGAATATTGGAGAATTGGTTGAGAGGTTTTAGGGGATTTAGCAGTTAAAATTTGAATACAAAGACATATTATTATTTCTTCAATACTATATTATATTATATTATGTTATAACATTATTTGGTAATATTTAGATAATCAGGGAATATAAGTTTTCAGAAATATCAAGAGGTTCAAGAAGTTCTTTGACAAATTAAGAAAGATATAACTAAAATACTGATAAGATATGTACTTCTTTCTTCGTATTCTTTATTTATTTGTGCATATTGCCAAACGTTTGCTTGCTTTTATAATACTGAAATTCATTAAAAAACAATTTCACTAATTAGCCGCTCGTATAGAATTTCCCTCTCCGCAAACATTGCATACTTTAGGGTTGCGGCGAATAGCGATAAATATCGTTGCCTACTTTCAAGCGTTCCGCTTAAAGTCAATTACACAGCCAATCAACATTAACCGTAAATTAAGACGCGCTCAAAGCCAATTTAAGTCGAGTTAACGCCTAGTTAAATCCCAACAGGCCCCCCACCAGGGCCACAGAAAGTCTCAAGTATTTGTTTTGCCGTTGTTCTTGACTACAGCTAATGTTGTTGTTGTTGTAGTCAAGCATATGCGGCAGTTTGCCAAAAAGTCAGATAAACTGTTAAACAAAACACAAACAATTGCTTGAAGGAGGGGAAGAGGGGGTTGAGGTAGCGTGAGGTCCATTGCTGGCTATTTGAACGGTAAACAAACAACGTTTTTGCCATGCTTTTGCTCTTGACATTTATGTATTTTGACTCGCCGCAGTTTTTGCATGCTACGCTCCTTCGGTATCCCCATCTCCAACCCCCTCTCTAGCTCGCTCACTCCGCTCATAATGAGCAGGCTACATATTTGATGACTATCTAGAAAAGATATTTCAGTGCGCCTGAAGCTTTACGCCATTGCGCTTCGTGTTTGTTTTGCGTTTGATGATGCGACGACGACTGCAGCCGCAGCAGCAGCAGCAGTAGCAGCAGCCGGCATGTGCTCGCTGCGTCGCTCTCTTTTCGCCGCCGTCATTGTTGTCGCTCTCTCGCAACGCGCACGTTTTGTGCTTTTGTTTATTTTGCACTTGTTTCGCTGAGAGAGAGCACTTACGCGTTCTCTCGCTCTCTCACTGTTACTTTTTATCATTTGCTACTGCGTCGTTTTTGTTGTTGCCTTTTGGGACTAGCTGGACGGCGTCGCATTTTTATGGCAAACCGTTTCGCTGCTGTCGGCTCTGTCATTTCCTATGTTCAGTTAACATTAAAACGCAGCCCGCTAGAGCAGCGCGTGTTTTTGTCGTCGCGTTAGAACCAAATTTAAAAAAAAAAAAATAAAAAATATAATTAAAAAATATAACAAATATTCATAATTGTGTTTACTGTACAAGTTTGCTTAAGTGTCTACCGCTCTCTATCGCTCGCGCTGTCTCTCGCTTCAAGTGTGCTCGTCGTCTACGTGTGCGTGTGTGTGTGCGCGTGTGCTTGTGTATGTGTTCGTGTCGCAGTGTGTGCGCTAAGACAACAACAATTTTACACTATAAAATATGTAATATTTGATAGCTGCAATTTTTATAAGTCATTTAGCCAGACGCTTTTGCTTGTGCATAATCTCAAGGTGAAGCTGTTTAGAGAGGTGCAACCCATATTTAACGGTTGCTCGGGGCACAAGACTGGGCATATTTTATTTCCTATATATTGCCGGTTGCGAGTTATGCGGAATGGATTTTATTTTTGAAAGTTTTTTTAAATGTTTAGTGAGCATTTTGTAAGAGCTCATTTGCTGTCTAAAATATTTTGTAAAACTCTTATTTGGTTCTATTTGACTTTAGTTTTTTTTTTATATATCTCTTAAAGATCTTATTTCCCCTGTGGAAAAAAAATTGCATTGTCAGCGCAATGCAAACAAATGCAATTACAGTTGAGCTTTTGTCAGCGTCAACAACAGTGCCGCCCACAAAAATAAAGCGCTGCTAAAAAAACAAAAATAATAATGAAACGGAACAAAAACAAACAGCACGAACCAGCTCGACTAACGGCACAAGTCCCGCAAGTTGGGTTCTTGTGTTTTGGTTTTAACGAAAGTCGCACAAAGCGCAAACAAAATATTTCTGTAAAAGGAATTTCTGTGTAAAATGCAACAGCGAGCGGTGCGGAATGAGGGGAACGGCACGCGGGTGGAGAAGGAGAAAGGGGGGGGGGGGCTGCATTAAAAGCAAGCACGCAATGGCATTTTTAATTTGCATATGTGTGCGTGTGTGTGTGTGAATGTATGCATAGAAGTTGTTGGTAGCCTGGCTTTCGTCGCGGTAGGAAGGAAAAGGGTGTGTTATTTCATTCCTTTTTTTTTTTTGGGGGTTTTTGTTTGTGTGTTTGCTGCAGCGAGCGAAAAGAACTTTAATTTGCCGTCATTCCACTTTTGGTCTGATTTTCGCCGCCTGCGCTGCTCACATTACGCATACGCAGCGGGCAAAGTGGCAAGAGGAAGCACCAAATTGTTGCCTACCATTGGGCGCCGTGCGCTCTCTCGCTCGCTCTCACAAGCGCAAACACAAACACAAACACACACATACATACCAAATTTACTCTAGCCGCATCCTTTCTGCGCGTTGCCTTTTAACTTTGTTATTCGTTGCGTTGCGGCACGCGCTCTCATGCTCTCGCACGCTCTGGCATTGCCTGCGCTCAACCTCTCGCACCCGCTCTCTCTCCCTCTCTGGCTGGCTTTATTTTGTATTTGCTGTCCAAAAAGCAAAACGCAAAAATAAAGCTCAGCAGACTGTGGCTAATTTTTCGCTAGAATGTTGCGCTGTTTGCTCGCTAAATGTTTATAAATAAATATATAATTAATTGAAACTGTTTTTAATTGTTTTAAGCAAATTTAATTGTTTGTGCAACGCAGAAATTCTTTAAAGCTGTCGCTCTGCTTGTGTGTGTGTGTGTGTGTGTGTGTGCGTGTATGCTGCCTGCAGTCGCTGCTGGCGTATCGCCGCACTGCATCCTGAGGTCGTGCACCTCTTTTCTCCTCTTTTCGCGCTGCTTTCGTCATTGTTAAAGGAGATGCCAATGCAGTATCTCTCTCTGTGTGTGTGTGTGTGTATATATGTGCGTGCCTGTGCATGTGCATTTGTGTGCGTGTGTGTTTGTTTTTGTAATTTTCAGTATTTCGTTTGCATTTTAATCATAATAACAAACAATTTTCTTTGCTTTTGCTGTTTGTGTTTGTTTTTTGTGCATTCAAGCTGATACTGCTCTTCTTCTTAATTCTCTTGTTGTGCTAGGTTAGCAATCCAGTGTTGCAAAGTTCGCCAAATAATGCTCTGAAACTTGATGCTTTGCGACTTTAACTCAATTGTGTGTGCGCAATGAAAATTCTGGAACCCTTGAGAACTGACTTCTACAAGTTTAGCTTTGATTAACAATAGCAAAGCATATTCACATCATTTTAATTTTGTTTAAGTTTTAGTTTTTTCTGTACTTTGATTTCCGCTTGTGTCGCATTCTAATCTAATAAGATATGCTATTTTTACTTTCGTTTCTCCAACGAAATCTTATTAGCTGCTCAGATAAATTGCTACACGCCATACCTCAGATAAGCACGCCTCGGATATTATACCTATGCGCATATACATATATATACAATTTATTTATATATAATGCCTAATTGAGTCAGTGTGCGACGCCCACAGTTGAGATAATGCAATTAGACGTTCCAGCCAACTGAAGTCTGTTGTGTTATTTTTTCCAATTGGGGAGTGAGCGGACTGTAAAGCTGGGGAACTGTAAACTCACGTAATCTGTGTGTGTGTGTGTATATATAGTTGTGTGTGCCTTGACTGCAAACAATTTAATAATAATACCCTATAAGATGGCAGCAATAAGGCTTATATAGCCCTATAATGTTGACCAGGGTGCTTTTTTCTAAAACTCACACATTTTCGGATTGTGAAAGTGGAATTGAGATGGGTGTAAAATATATTATTTAAAATTTAATAAAGCTAGTTGAAAACCTAAATTGAATTTACTAGAATGAAAATGTTTAATTAATATTTTGCTTTAAATAAAAGCAAATAGAAAGTATATTATAGTTTGCCACTTCAAATTTTTCTGGTTGAACATTTTTTAAATAGATCTAGCTTAACCTGGATTAATATTTTTATTAGAGATTTAGCTTGAATCAAATAAAATTTATATTGAAGTTTTCCACAAAGAATTTTCCTGAATTAAAATTCTTATAAAATATTTTGCTTAACACAAAAATAAAATAAAATGTTTATTAAAGCTTTTCACCTAGAATTTTTGTAAATGAAAATTTTTATTAGAGTTTTCGTGTTTACAAAAGTTTTAGCTAAAAAAGCAGTACACATATTTTTATTTACGTTTTTCACCTAGAATTTTGCTAAATCAACATTTTTATTAAAGGTAAAGCTTAAAAAAAATCAAATTTTTTGTTATTAATTGCACTCAGAGTTTTCCTGAATGAGTATTTTTATAAAATATATAGCTCAAAAAATACAAATAAAATGTGTGTTGAATGAGAAAATTTATTAAAAGATTTTACTCAAAAATAA